GAAAAGGTGCCCTCACTGGGCAGGCACAGCCTTATGAGCTTATAGTTTGGAAAACAGTTGTGCCACATTTTAGCCCTGATCATCTTCTTGGGTACATCCTTATGCAGAGAATTACTTGTGTGACCATATTTGACACTTAATGCCAACACCCATGCCCAGACTTCATCCCCAGTGATCAAATTACTGAATCCCCATTAAGATCTTTAGTTTAATATCATGGTGATAGAGGATAAAACTGTAATCTCAACCATGTCAGGAAGATTGTGAAGGTGGAAAATATATACATTGCCACTTCTCAAATACCCAGATCCTTTCCAAAGAGGGGATCCGAGTAGGATTACTTTTCAAGAGTGTATATATGGCAAACAAATCAGTTCTTTAAATGACAACTGCATGGTACATTATTGTTACGACTGCTACATTCTGGTCCAATCACATTTGTATGTATTTTTAAAAACATGTCAAATCTTGAAGAGTGTATAGTGACAAGGGGGGGCAGCTACTGGAAATAGTGAACTATCCTGTGATAACATATGTACATCTCCAACTCTGATTGTTCCTAGTTTTAGAGGGCCTATCCTGCTTCTCATCTATACCTGCTTGAGTGATGCCTCAAGTACATTACGTCCTTATTAGGAACATTACAAATTCTTTTAGTTAGGTCTTTCACTAAAGTTCCCTTGCATATATTTCAAGTAAATGTTGTATTCCAGACTAACCATAGTAAGACTATACATTTCTGTGTGTGCACATTTGTCTTTGCAAATTTTCTTCTCCAAATTATTTAATTATTTTGTATTTATATGTTACAATGGACAGAAATGTTATAAATCAATGAAATAAATTCTCAGTTAAGACCTTTAAGTTTGGTTTGCATTCTCTTCCCTCCATGCCCTGCCAGCATGGCACAGAATGCGGTAGGACACACCTTCTGAAGTTTTAGACTATGAGATTAGAAAAGGACTTGTCCTGTCTCATGGGAATGGTTTCCAAGGGCTATTTTCTTTTGATCTCACTCTTTCAAAAACTTCTCTTTAACACGTGCTGCTATTGAGCTGTAGGAAATGGATGAAACTCACTTCGGATCCCATCTAAATGTCTTCTTCCTCAGCCTCAAACAGATGGATTTCAGGAAAGTGGAAAGAAGATTTAAGAGGCTTTGTGTCTTGTTAGCATGTGGAAACCACGAATGGGGAGAGCTGGCTGTCTCTAGACAAGAACTGTCTGAACAGGCTCTCGTTCCAGGCTCCTGAGCCGCTATAGAGAAGCCAAGTTGCAAACTGATTGGACGGTGATGAAACACTCTAGATTTGAGGATGAGGGTGAATGAGACCTCAGAATTCAAACTCACAAAGCAATGTACATGCCAGAGTGCACCTAAAAAGCACAGTGCCACAGGTCCTTCGATTCCTACCATCCTTGTTTTTTGTATCATGCTTCATGTCTGGTCCTTAAGCTAAATTCTCTTGGTTTTTTATTTGTTCATCAATTCAGAGAAATAACATGACAAGACAGAGACAAATGTTTCTGAGAAGCATCCACCTCTGTTTTTAAAATTGGTCCTGGAAACTGAGACTCTGTTGTAAGGGAGACAGAGGAGCTACTAGTATTCGGAGAATGTCAAAGCAGTGTCCAACACTTGAAGTATTTCTCTGTACTTTGGAGAAATTTCTGCCCAGAAAACGCTGCAATCATTGATTCTACCCAGGACTTCTGCAGACTTTAATGAGCTGCACTGTAATTGCCCTCAGCAGAAATGGTACAAACTGTTGCACTTGGTGACTCTTGTTGTATCTAATAAGGTCATCTTGGAGGCAGGTGTTTTTTGAAGGGCATTTCAATGGAGAATTCATTTACTGAGTGACACACTCACCAAGCAGGCTTGTCTAGTGCTTTTTTGTTGTTGTTTTGGTTTTTCGAGACAGGGTTTCTCTGGAATTGTTTGAAGGCGGTGCTGGAACTAGCTCTTGTAGACCAGGCTGGTCTCAAACTCACTCTGTAGACCAGCCCGGCCTCGAACTCACAGAGATCTGCCTGCCTCTGCCTCCCGAGTGCTGGGATTAAAGGTGTGCACCACCACCGCCCGGCTTTTTTGTTGTTGTTGTTTGTTTTTTGTCTCCAGAACAGCAATGAAAGACTATTCAGTTTGTCTCTCTTCAGCTCCTCCTTGGAGTTTGAGGGACAGAAAAAAGGAATATCTGAGTGAGTTCAATAAGAACCATAATATTTAGACTGGAAAGGTGGCTCAGATGTTAAGAGCACTTTTTGCTCTTGCAGAAGACCTGAGTTTGGCTCCCAGCACCCATAGGGCAGCTCGCAGTCATCTATAACTCCAGTTCCAGGAGATCTGGTGACCTCTTCTGACTTCTAAAGGCACCAGACACAAATATAGTGCACATACATACATGCAGGCAAAACACTCATACACATAAAATAAAATGAATATTTTTAAAAGGAACATAAAATTGAATCAAGCACTCTTAGCAGTATATTCATTTTTCTTTCACCTCAGTTTCCAGATGTAACATCAAGAAATCAAAGCAGATAAAATTAAATTAAAAAGTCTTATACAATAAATAGCATTTAAAATAATATTTTATTAATTATTTGAGAATTTTATACAGTATTTTATCACACACACATGCACACATATTTGAGGATATATTTGAGGATATATATATATATATATATATATATATATATATATATATATATCCTCAAATTCAGAACCCTCCTGACTTAGTATCCGGAGAGCTGGGATTACAGATGTGTATCACTGCTTCTGGTTCTAAAATATATGCTTTTAAAACTATATATATATATATATATATATATATATATATATATATATATGTTCTTCACTGCAAAAAAACCCTATAGTCCCTGGTGTGTCCTCTTAGCTCCATTTTATATATCTGCAACAAGTTGGAGCAGAGACCAATTTAACAGTCTTTACACTATTGTAATGGAAAAGTAAAATGATTCCAGGGCAACTAAACTAAATTGTTATAGAAATAACTTAATTTGGTTAATCAGTTAGCTCCAGAAAGTTGATTAAGAATGGACCCTCGAAGGGCCTAGGTCCTGTCCTGGATGAAATGACAGACTTTGGAGATCCCCCCAAGGAGAGCCTCACCCTCCCTGGGGAATGATGTGGGGATTGGGTGGGGGGCTGGGAGGGCTGGTGGAGGGACAAGGGAGGAGAGGTGGGAGAGGGAGCTGGGATTGACATGTGAAGCATGCATATTTCTAATTTAAATAAAAAATATTGATGAAAAAAAGAATGGACCCTCTAGTCAGACATGGGATGCTTTATTTTAGAATCAAAAGACATGATATTTCCACTTTGGATGTTGACCTGTAAAATAGATTCTTAAGCAGCTTCCAATGAGAACACGAGCCTTCATAAAAATAAGCAAACTTTTTGATTCAGATTAATATAGGGAATCGCTAGTAAAGACACACATAAAGATTACTAATGGGATTTGATTATGATAATTTAAGGTTTAATCTTCTTTACTCCAGAGACCACAGCAAGTCCTGCATGGAAGTATATCATGCACTGCTTCATAACTCAAGAGCTAGCATTAAAACAGACAAAAAGGAGTTGAGAAGAGGGAAGGGAGGGTAGGAGGTATGAGGGGGACCAATGCTTGAAAACGACGTTTAAAAGTATGTGAGCTGGGTGTTGTGGTATATGCTTATTATCCCAGCACTTTGGATGCTAAGAAAAGGAATACTGCTATAAGTTTGTGGCATGGCCAGTCTTGGATATATAATGCAGTGAAGTTCAGCCTGGGTTCCATGACAAGACTATTACAAGAAGGTCTCAGGGAAAAAAAATGTATGTGAGTTGATAAGGGGTTGGTTAAGTGTTTTCATTAAAGATCAATCAAAAGGGGACTCAAATAAGCAGGACTCGTTTCAATTCAATCAATATTGAGCCCTAAACACGTGTTCGATCAACACTGTGTCAGGCATGGTAGGAGATACCAGGTTATTTCAGTAAGCATTCCATTTAAATGTTATTCTATGAGCCAAGCATGAGCTAAATACTCTTGACTTCATCACTCAACAAGTTAGAAAGTCTATCCCAAAAGATAAAAACACTAAAATTCAAACAACCAGAACTGGAATAAAGTGCAGTTTGAACTTATTCTTTGTCTTATCTTTACTAAAGAAATTGCCTTAGGAAACCAGGAAATGGGGAAAGCCAATAGGAGCATGGAATGACATAGTCCTTAAGGCACAAAAAGATAGGTTTCAGGCAAGGAAATGGGTCAAAGTGGAGAATAGCGAAGTGTTTGTAAAAGCCATTACGTTAGAGTAGCTGCCCAGTTGAATTCAAGTGTGGACCAGATTTTGGTGGACAATGGAGACTGGGTCAAAGAATGTAGCCTGCAGTTAACTAGCTAAGTCGACAATTAATGGATGCCAAGTTTCAAATTACACTACCGTAAATGAGCTGAAAGACTCTCCTCGGGGCTAAGGTCAGAGGCCACAGGTGCCAGGAGTGAATATGGGGGACAGTGTTCAGGCCTCCTTTTTTGCTTTCTTTGTGAGGCTCCACTCTGGGATTGTTTCCAGGTGAGGTTTGGGCCAGGGCGGGTCATCGGAAGGATGTCAAGGTTTCAGATGAGTTTGGTGGCCCGCTCAGAAGACCTTGTCACTGCTGACGCAGAAAGCCGACTTGTTTTCTGCCTGGATCCAGGTTCTCTGTGTCTCCCGCGGGCTGGCCCATTTTCTTTCCCCATCAGCCCAGTACCAGCAGGATTTGGCTCCCCAGAGGAGGCGGACCAGGGGTGGGGCTGCGAGCAAAGGGTGCCACCTCTTAATGTGCGTCCTTCAGGCAGGACTCCACTGGCTCTACTTCTTGGTGCGAGCCGCATTGAGGGGTAGCCCTGACATCCAGGTGGCCACAATTGAGGGGCTGTGTTCCTATTGCCTCAGCTAGGGTTGGAGGCAGGTTAAGGTAGAAGAGAGGCCAATGACAAAACTTAATTCCCGCTCCGAGCTCAGCTCTCCGCGGCTCCCACGGGCCTTCCTCTTTATTCTCCCCCCCCACTCCGGTGAATACTTGGAGAGTTCCGTTCCACGCGGGAGGAGGAGCCGAATCTAGCTCGGGTGGGAATCCAGGCAACCCAGAGCCATCTCATAAAGTCCCGAAAACCAAAGAGTATGGCAAAAGCCATTCTCTCGCCGAGATCTTAGTCACAGGTTTGTCTTGCATGGTTGGGCCAGGACTAAAAACCGTTGAGGCAGCTGCGAGCTTGGTAGAGGCGGGGCCGCGATAGCGCCACGCTGGTCTCCTCCCCCGCACCGCCCAGCGGTGCGAAACTCTGGTTGGCTTGCCTTGCAAATCATACTTTGGTTCTATCATTTTGAAAAGTCCTGACCTCCTCCCGCCCAGCCTTGTTCGGAGCACTCACTGAAGCTGAGTGTTTGGGGATCAGGCCAGCTTGGAGGCTGCAACTTTGGCAGACACCACGGGGCAGATTCTGCGCTGCGGCCCGTGAGCGTGGGCGAGATGCGGAGCAGGAGCAATTCTGGGGTCCGGCTGGACGGGTACGCGAGGCTGGTGCAGCAAACCATCCTGTGTTACCAGGTAAACGGAGACCATTCCGAGAGAACACCCTAAACTGCCCTCTGATGTGAGTCACTCTCCCCTAGGCCTCTGTCTACTCTTGAGACCTGAGAGGTCGCAGTTCGTTAAGAGATTTTCTACTTTAGTTCAGTCCTTGGTAGCCGGTTATTAGCCTTTTTCCTCATTGCTATTCCTTTTATTTTTACTCACAAGCCAGGCTTTTTGGTCTTTGAACAGCTACTGAGGCTGTTTTACAGCGTTCTTGGACCCCCCCCTTTTTTTTTAAATCAGAACGACCCCCTCAGTGTCCTTCCTGAGGGCTTCTTTTGGAAGAAAGAGGTGTATTAAGTTGAACAGAGCACACTAAGTAAGAACAGTGAATTCTGGGGACAGTAGACGGGAATGGAAAACAAAAAACTAAGGCTTCCATCTGACTGAGTGTGGGCAACTGCTAATGCCTATCCCATGAGTTACCTTGTTAGACATCTACCTCAGAGGGCCCTGTGACTCTCTTTGCTACTTTGCAGCTAACAGAGCTTCTGAGCACATAGCATCATCACCAAGGCTGGCTGTGCAGCTGTAAAGCTAAGCATATGATCTCAGGTATGAATATGCCTGCTATGCTTTGCACTTGGAAAGTTGTGCGTGAGTCCCCAGTGTAAGACCACTGAGCTATTTTTGTTTTCAGTGAAGACAGCAGCTATATTGCTTGCCTTCAATCAACAGTGGCTATTTTTAGGGCTTTCAGAGTCAAAGAAGGAAGTAGCAGTTGGTGGTTTGAGGCTTGACCTACAAGTTGGAGACCCATGGTCATTTCCAAATCATCTTTTTTCTTATCAGCTGATTTCTCAACCTTGACTCTTCACTCAGGAAATACTTACTATGTTGCTTTTATATTCAAGACATTGTACAAAGTTCTGTGCCTACATAAAATCAATGAATGGTGCTGCTGGTGGTGTTGCTCAGTGGTATAGCAGCTTACCTGGTGTTCTCAATGCCCTAGATTGGATTGGGGGAAAAACAATGTTTATAGCACGGTGGAATTTATGAATGAGGTATAAGTTCAACGTTCCTTGTTTGAAACACTTTGGGGCCAAATGTGGCTTGTAAGCCAGAAATGTCTGGATTTTAACAAGTCATATGCATATATACATTATAATAGCCACAGTACTCCACACAATATCTTTTAGTTACATCCATTATTATTTCTGCATCAGAATATGAATATTCACACTAAATGCAATAAGTAAAGACTACAGCAGAGTTTCACTTTAGACCAGCTTAACTTTTGCCATCAAAAGAACTTTCTGCAAACTTAGGAGAAACACTTGAGCTTTGGAAACTACTCATAAAGGACTGTAGTATTTATCTGGAGACCTTTGGAGAAAGACACCACCACCGCCACCCCCAGCCAAGCCATATTTAGCTAGGAAGGAGTTCTGCGAGAAATAGCATTCTGGCTGGGTATTGAAGAGGGAGTAAACAGATAAAAGGAGGTTACTTTTTCATTAAAAAAAAAACTTGAGCCGGGCAGTGGTGGTGCATGCCTTTAATCCCAGCACCCGGGAGGCAGAGGCAGGCAGATCTCTGCGAGTTCGAGGCCGAGCTAGCTCGACAGCCTCCAAAACAATACAGAGAAACCCTGTGTTGTAAAAACAAAAAAACAAACAAACAAAAAAAACCTCGGGCTGGAGAGATGGCTCAGTGATTAAGAGCACTGACTGCTATTCCAGAAGTCCTGGGTTCAATTCCCAGCACCCACATGGCAGCTCACAACTGTCTGTAATTCCAGTTCCAGGGGACCTGACACTCATGGTGAAACACCAATGCACATAAAACAACAAAACGAAGTTACATTTGTTTTTCATTCTCAGAATGTAATTACAGATTAACATTCTCAGAATTGCAACTATAAAATTCCAGTTGAAAACCTTTCCTTCCATTACTACGATAGAGTGAGCTATAAGGAGAACTGATAAAACTTAGTTTTTTTAGCAGGGTAGTGGTGGCACCTTTAAGTCCAGCACTCTGGAGGCAGAGACTTGTGGATCTCTGTGAATTCGAGGACAGCCTGGGCTACAGAGGAAGTTCCAGGACAGCCAGAACTACACAGAGAAACCCTGTCTTCAAAAACAAAAACAAAGAAACCCTTGGTTTTTATGTCAGACCAGAGTTTGAATACTTAATTCTGCCTTGAGCAACATGTATAACCTTTGTTCTTCAGCCTTTCTTGTTTGTTTGTTTGTTTGTTTGTTTGTTTAAACAGGGACTAGAAATCACCATGGAGACCTAGCTGGCCTCAAACTGACAGATCTACCTGCTTTTGCCTTTTGAGTGCTGGGATTAAAGTTGTGCACGACCATGCCCAACTCTTTGTTTATCCTTTCTGAGTTAACGCCTTCATCTGTAGAATGGGGATTGGGTTACCATAAGGAAAAATTCATGTGTAGTGTGCTTTCCGGGGACTGTGTGAGAGCAGTAAGTAGCGGGGGCTTTTGATATAGGCCACATGTTGTTACTCAGTCCTTGCATTCTGATCCAGGATTCTCCCTTCCCTGGAAGACTTGATACCACTGATAATTGCTTTCTGGCCTTTGGGCATAACTATGTGTTCGATTGGTGTAGTTAGATCCTAAGTGCAGAGACTTTGGTGTCTCCTTCCTATTCCTCAAGCAATGTCTCAGGCACATTAAAGGCATCCTTCTATCCTTGTTGATAAAATATCCTGTGGGTTCTGTGTCACCCTAATGTCAGAGTTATTGGTCTGCCTAGGCTTGCCTTTACTCAGGAGCAAAACAACTGTCTTCTCACTCAAGCTGCAGGGTTGGACTTTCATCCACAACATTTTAATGATTAAAAATCAGTTGTATTTATTTTGGGGGTAGTCAGTGAAAGGCCATCATGCTTTCTCTTTTCCTCTGGATAACCAGACTCCGGACAGTTCAGCTGGGAAAGTCTGTGAATCTACAAGTAGCCAATTGCATGCCGCCTTGTCCAGCGCTCCCCTGCACCCATCCTGCTGCAACAACTATTGACAGTATAGAAGCCTAACTTATTTAGGGCCTTGTCTTTTCTAAGTGCTAATAGGTAGGTTGCCTGTGTTCTGTAATTTTTATCATACTTAAAAATCAGCTAGGTTTCTGTAGTCTCCACTATACCGTGCTATCTTCTATTTTTCAAGTCAGTTCTTATAAGCTCTGAACTCTGTTTTTTATTTGATTTTTATATTGTGATCAGTTAATATTGGTTTCACTGGTTAGAAATGTTTCATAAGTATGTCAAGTTGATCATTATTCTTCCTTTCAGATCACTAGTTTCTGCACATCGTCTAGCATGTCTAGTAATTCCTTTATTATGTCTGTAAAGGAGAACTCTTTCCATCTGTAATTTGCCAGATATATTGAATCTTTAAGGCAAAAGGAAAGATGTATGTCTATAAAAGGGTCATTTAGCAAGTTTCATTTTGTGAATTACATTCTGAGGAGTCTCTTCAGATATATTGACTCAATAGATATATTGACTTTTAGAAAGAAATTTCTATATTTATTTTAGCCTATATAAAATATTTATTGTTAACATTTCTTCAGTAATGGCTCTGTTTGAAGGCTCATTAATATGTGTGAAGTATGACGTAGTGGTAAGATAATATGGACCAAAAATAATAACTAAATCAGTATTCTCTGGAGTTTGAAATTATTGGGTATAATAACTTAGAAAAGAGACTCGGGCAGGAACTACATTGTGATTAATGACAATGGAATTTAAAATGAAAAGAATAACATAAATAGAAAATGGTGTGTGGAATAAATAGCCGTTTTAAAGACTAATTGTAGAAGAGTTTAAAGTAATAGAATTAAGTCTAGGAAGCAGTATGACAGAAAACTGAGAAAAGACTGGTGTTAAAGTGCTCTAAGTCTTTTATTGCCTTAGAAGGGAGAGCAAAGGAACTGTAATGACATTTTAGTCAAGAGTTTAAGAATTACCATTAAAATACTATAAATGGATGGGTGAGAACATAGCACAGCTGGCAAAGTGCTTGCCATGCAATCATGAGAGCTTGAGTTCATTCCCTAGCACCCATGTAAAATTACCATATATGCTAATACATACTTATAAACCCAGCACTGAAAAGGTGCAAACAAGCAGATTATGGGGGCTTGCTAGCCAGCTAGCTAGCCTGACCAGAGAGCTTCACATCTGTCTTAGGGTTTTTATTGCTGTAAAGAGAAACCATGACCATGGCAGTTCTTTTTTATTATTTTTAAATTTAAATTGGAAACAAGGTTGCTTCACATGTTAATCCCAGCTCCTTCTCCCTCTCCCTCCCCTCATCCCATACTCCCCCACCAACCCCTTCATCCCCCCCTCCCCCAATCCCCACTCCTTTCCCCAGGGACCCTCCATGGGAGGTATCCATAGTCTGTCATTTCCTCCAGGGCAGGGCCTAGGCCCTCCCCCCAAGAGTCCAGGCTGAGAGAGCATCCCTCATTGTGGGATGGGCACCCAAAGTCCATTTGTATGGACCATGGTAGTTCTTATAAAGAAAACATTTAATTGGGGTGGCTCACTTACAGTTTCAAAGGTTCAGTCCATCATCGTCGTGATGGGGAGCATGGTGGTGTACAAGCAGACATGCTGCCAGAACTCAGAGTCTTACATCTTGCTGGCAACAGGAAATCAACTGATAATCACACTGAGGGAAGCTTGAGAAAAGAAACCCAAAGCCTGCCCCCACAGTGACACACTTCCTCCAATAAGGCCACACCTCCTGATAGTGCCACTCCCTTTGGAGACCATTTTCTTTCAAACTGTCACATTCTACTCCCTGGCCCCCAAAGGCTTATAGACATAATGCAAAAAAATGCATTCAAAAGTCACCATAGTCTGTAACAGTCTCAAATTTGCTTCAAAGTCCAAATCCTTTTCTGAGATACATGGCAATCTCTTAACTGTAATCCTCCTGTAAAAAATCAAGATTAAAAAAGCAGATAATATACTTTTAACATGTAATGGTACAGGAT